CTCTCTCTCCCTACCTGCCTACTGTATTCTCTCTCTCTCTCTCTCTCTCTCTCTCTCTCTCTCTGTATCCCTTTATCTACCTACCTACCTACTCTCTCTCCCCCATACCTATCTACTGTATCTACCTTCCAACCTATCTACTCTCTCTCTCTCCCTATCTATCTACTGTATTTCTCTATCTCTTTCTATTTCTCTGTATCCCTCTATCTACCTACCTCGCACTCTCTCTCCCTTCCTACCTACTGTATTTCCCTATTTCTCTATCTCTCTCTATTTCTCTCTCTCTATCCCTTTATCTACCTACCTTCCTAACTACTTTCTCTCTCTCCCTACCTGCCTACTGTATTTCTCTCTCTTTCTCTCCCTCTCTATCCCTCTATCTACCTACCTACTTTTTTTTTTTAAAGCCTCTTCAAAATCTTGGTGTGTCTTAAACTCTGGTGCGTCTTATACTCCGAAAAATACGGTTATTATATATTGTTTTTTATAGGGTTTCTTTTTAATTTTTATTACATGTTAATTATTATGTTAGTAATCAAAATGTGCATACTCCCCATTTACAGCGGGAGCATTTCTAGAATGTTTGTCTACTTGGTTGAATGAGACTAACAAAATGTGACAACTATCACAATCAGTTGAGGATAAAAATAAATGAGCCTGTTCAACAGAAGAAACTGGGCTACCTCTATTATATGCTTCTGGAGTGATCAAGTGATGACAGGAAAGTAATAAGTGAGACAATAATAGTAGGCGTGATTTAAAACATGTCAATTTATTGTTACATATCTGAGGGGAATGGAAAAACAAAAGTATTTAAAAAATGTTTTAAAGGAAATAACTATGGTAAATTTATAAATTGGCAGTGAACAAATCTTTTCATTGCCCAACTAGGTAACATCATCAGTGTTAGTGTGGGATTTGCTCCCTCTTTATATGCAGCAGTTGGCCCTGCCACTGTTGATGGAGGTGTGGGTTTTTTCCTGGATAGTTCCTTGATTAGGCTTTTTTTTTGTTTGATTGTTTGTTTAATTCCTGTTTATCTGTTTGAAACAGGTGGAGAGAATGTTTTTCAGTCTTTTACAATTTATTTTAGATTTTTTAAATTATCTTTTTGAATGGTCTGGAAATGTGGTTTATCTCCACTTGACTATTGATGGCTGATACTGAACATCTCTCTGAACAGGGTACAGGAACCATTGAGGATCTAAATTCACATTTATAAATATCTGCAGACAATGAAAGCACCTTTCAAAATGCAATTTCATGTTGTGTTCTGTGGTATCATTATGGAGTCTCTAAAGTCAACTCGTCCTCTTGAGGCTTAGCCTTGTTGAAGAGTTTTTCTATTTTGTAGCATGTTCCTGATGCCTTTTTTCTTACGATATGGCTGCATCAATCACATCATTGCAGTAATATAGTGTTATTCCACAACAAATGGAATGGCCTGCCTGCACTCAACATACTTTGAACAAAGAGCAGGGAGAAATAAGTCTCTCTTCCAAAACTTTAGAGTGGCTTGAAAAAAATGAAGTGGCTTCATAATGTTCAGCAGAGCATTTATTAAGAGTTTAAAGAAGTATAGGATTGTTCAGTATTAGAGCTTAAACTACTGAAATATCATCAAATGTAGTCTTCATGTTTTCAGTCAATGGTGCTTTATATTAAATATGGAAAATTCTGGAATCAGGTTCATCTGTTCAGAGTCTACAGAATTAGTCAATAAATTATTTATAAATACCAATTTTCCTACCTTTCTCTTTGAATACCTTTACCAGATGGAAATATTTACACCAGATGGCATGTATTTTAATATAGATCTCCTTTAGACTGTAATTCAGGTTTTTTTTTTGTATCTGTGCTTTATTTGAGAATGAATTTGTGATACACCATCTCTAAACCTGTAAAAAAATATGAAAGGTATATTTTTATTTTTTAGTAACATTTAGTTTTTATATATATATATAGCATGATAAATCCACAAAGATCATTATTTGCTTTTGGCTTTGTTCACACATGTTTGCTAAGTCAAATGATTATACTCATCAACAAAGTAACATTCTTTATGAAACAGGTGCCACAAAAGCAATTCCACCTTAACACAGAAGAATGATCATCCTTTTCCAGTTGATGCTTTATCTGTGGCCAACCAACAGTGCTATAGATGAAAGACTTTCAAAGCCCAACATCATCTTGTTCATGGTTGATGACCTTGGCATTGGAGACTTGGGATGCTATGGAAATACAAGTCTAAGGTTTTATATCATTCTTAGTAATTTATCTGCGTTATTTATTTAAATAGATAATCTACAACATTCTGGTTATTTTGTTTGATGCATGCAAGTGCCCACAAATATCTCTACTGCATGGTGGAATTGCTATGCTTAAAACTATACAATGTGAAAAATCACAATAGCATAATCAAGTAGTTGATGTTGCTTTTTCTTTTTAAATTAATATTTGAGAGAAAATGGATGTATTTAATTATATACTCAATTTATTAAAATGTGGTTTGTGAAATACATATCTTACAAATACATGTTAAATGTATGAAAAATAAATTCATTGTGGTAAAAATGGAAAAAGGAATCTATTCAATTCATTATAATATTTCTGAGAAGAGTCAGAGGAAAGACAGAGAAAGAAAGGAAAGGAAAGGAAAGGAAAAGGAAGGAAGGAAGGAAGGAAGGAAGGAAGAAAGGAAGGAAGGGTGAGTTAGAAATGCTGTTTATATAGCCTTGCTTAACCGTTTAACTGTGACAGGAAACTCAGAACAAAACACAGAGTATATACATAGATTATACCTAGCAAATTTAGAAAAAAACTGCCATCTACTGGCTGAATACTTTTGTAGTTGCAAATTATACATTCTAACAATGTATTCCAACACCTCCACTCAACAACTACACCTTATATTAGTTCCATTTTGGATGTTAGTTCTATAAATCTGTTTCTTGTACTTCTTGTCTTTCTTCTTCATCTTCTTGCTGCCCTGGCTATCCACAGAGCTGTTGCTGTTGCTGTCTTGACTCTCTGAGGGACTGGCACTGGAGTTGCTAGGGCTCTGGCTCCAGCTGACTAGGGGACCAAGATGGTAACTGCAGTCTCTTTTGGCTTCTCCTTCCCATCTCTGGATTTTAATGCTACACAAGCAACATAGAAGAGATGTTTGGCTGGTATGCCTTTATTGCTTCTGGTGACTCTGATTGAATTCTGATTGAAACCGCTTGTGACCTGATTTGTTCTTTTACAGCATCTGGGTAGTTTGTTTTGATTTCTATTTCCATTTTATTTTGTTTCTTATCTTCATGTGACACTGATGCGGAATTTCCCTCTGTTTGCAGTGTTTGTGTTACTTCTTGAAATTTTGAACACACAGAAGTTTCATCAACAGTTTTACATTTCTACTGATGGTTACATTGTTTGTGTCTTGACGTAGAATTCAGTATCCCTTTTGAGATTCACTGTATTCCACAAGTACACCTTCCTTTGCGCAAGCATCCCATTTTCTACGCTTTTCTTTTGGAATGTGCAATAGACTTTGCTTCAAAAAAATTTATATGCCTTAAATTTGGGAGTTTTCCATTCCACACTTCATATGGAGTTTTCTCAGTTGATTTTCCTGGTAGTCGATTTTGGAGATAGCATGCAGTCATAGTTGCATCCCCTCAGTATGTAGTTGGCATATCTCCCTAAAACAGCATGGTTCTTCCACTCTTACATAGAGTATTGTTCATTCTTTCTGTAACTCCATGTTGTTCTGGGTTGAATTATACAGTAGCTTGAAATATGCCATGCTTTCTGAGCTGTGTGTTTCACTTGTATATTCAGTTCAATTGTCTGTGCGGCACTCTGCATTTTGCCAAATTTGTTGTTTAGTATGTTTACTTAAGCTAAATAGTGTTCAAGTTTCTTTGGTAATTCACTTTTCTTGGATAACAGACATAGTGTAGTATACCAAGAAAAATCACCTATAAAAGTGAGAAAATACCTCTTCTGTTTTCATTGTACCTTAAAGATCTGGATGCATTAAGTCCAGAGGGATTTTTTTAGCTCTGCTTTTACTCTGCTTTGGAAAGGTTGTTTTTTTTTTGGTCATTTTTCATTTTATACAGCTGGGGCATTTCATTAATTTTTATTCCACTTGCATAGTCATTCTCAGTTAATTTATTATTATGTTAGGACTTCTATGTCAAAGTTGTCTGTGCCATGTGTGAATGCAGTTTGAATGTTTTTTCTCTTTGGCTGTATCAACTACCTGATCGCAGTTCAGCTGATAAAGTTCATCTGTAATTTTAGCCTTTGCAAGTAAGATAACACAACTGTTCCCTTTGAAGGTCACTACATTGCCTTGTTTTGCGAACTTCTTCACTGACAAAAAATTAGATTCAGGAGCAGGGACATACATGGCATTTTTCACAAGAGTCTTTCTGGTGACACTGTGAGAAATAGGGCAGTAAAGAAAACCATCTCCTATTTCTTCTGATTCTATTATTTATCCATTAGCTGTGGTGATTTTTTCTGTTTTATTATGGTCAAGGTGAATAAAGACATTTCTGTCATTTGTCATGTGACTCATAGCTTCCGAATTAACACACCAAGCTTGCAAAGATGAGATGCAACTTTTGTATTGAAAAACATATCCATTATCTGAAACAAAATCAGTTTCTTCCTTCACATTTTTGGCATTTTGTAGTTGATGCATTCTACCTTTCCAGATTCTGCAATCTGTTTTTAAATGACGCTTTTCTTGCACACAAAGCATTCACATGTTTCTTGCTTTATGTAACTGTTTTTATTTCTATTTCTTGTCTTTAAAGCAGACTCTGTGACAGAAGCACCATAACTATTAATGCTTTCTGTTTTACACTTATTTTCATTTATAAGCTTGCCCAAAACGTATTCCAATGCATGTCCAGGTGACGAACTGACTGTACACTTTTTTCTATAGTGTTATATATGAACAGAATTTCTAAGAGACAGACATTTGGAAAGAAAGAAAGAAAGAAAGAAAGAAAGAAAGAAAGAAAGANTTCTAAAAGGAATATAATTGCAGGCCTGACACCTTGCTTTTATATTTAGGAAGCATGGCTGGCTGGCTGGCTGGCTGGCTGACTGGACTGTACGGGAATGAGCCTCACTTGTTTACATAATATCTTCTGTGGTGCGAGTTAAAGAATAACCTTTGAGAATTGTTTGCTTGAGGTCGGACACAAATGAAATAATAAACAAACAATGTCATTCCTCTTCCTTTGCCATTTATTCCTCTGACCCTAAAGACCCTAAATAACAATGAATTATCCTAATTAATTACACACTAACAAATGTAGATTAAATTAGATATATACTGATAGATAGATAGATAGATAGATAGATAGATAGATAGATAGATAGATAGATAGATAGATAGATATGAATGGTAGAAGTAAACATTAAATATATTCAGAGACACCTAAATTATTAGAAATGAAACTTATGAGACAAAATAACTCAAATCATTTTAAAGACAATGTTTAACAAGAAGAAATTGTCAATATGATTGTATCAAAATCATTTGATATTAGACTATGGCATATTCAATAATATAGTATTTTGAGATGAGTGGTTTCCATTCCATGTTGAGATTTGAGATTTCCCACTAGTAAATCATTAAATAGTTGGAGATGCAATGAGGATGACGTTTCATTAAAAACACATTTTTGCTACTGTATGTCCTTAAGTTACCTTCTCGGAAGAAGTAATTACATATATTATTCTGACTTTGAGGAAGATTTATTACTGCTGGACATCCATATTTTTTCTAAAAAAAAAACCTACATACCTATTACATAGATAAGGGAGATAGGGTCTGTGCCATTCTATTGCTAAGAGACTTGTTCTTCCATATTAGAACAATAAATTTATGGCCCCCAATTACTCAGTGGATTGAAGACCAGATGTTGTTTGCCACCAATGAAAATGTTGATTACAAGTGTAGGTTATACGTATATGGATAATAATAAATAAGGTCACTTAGTAGAGAACTAGAAACCTTCCCTAATAATAAACATATAATAAAACCAGAAATACCACTACCATTCTAGTGCTTGCTTACTACTGTGACATCTGATTGATTGACCATTCACTCTTAGCATGCAGCTTGATATCATCCTTGTAGAGATGGTGGCTGATCATGGTTATAGTCTTGAACTTGAACCATACCTAATCCTTGTGATTATGTGGGTAAGGGAATTCAAGTCTACACAGAACAGAAACAGGGACAGTCCATCTTGTTATATGCTAAACTTGAGGGCTATTTTTGGGAGTTGTCTAAAGTTGATTTCCAATGTTGTCTTCCAGAATTCTGTTGAATTTTTGAGGAAGTTGAGATTTATTTTGACACCTAGTCTTCAATGTCAAAAGGAAGTTCTCTAACCACTCTGCTATCTAGCTGTTGCATATATCATTTTTACCACTCTGGGGCTGTTACAAAAGTTTCTAATTTGTCATTTCTCATATTGTGATAAAATATCAAACTTGCTGGCTTCCATGATCACCAGTCTTTTAGCTGTAAGGTCCAGGAAGACTAAAAGGAGGACTGGATATATTTATTTCTACCAACTTAAGAGCAGAGCCCATGCTTATTGCCTCTTTAACACATATGGCTATGGCCCTTCTCCTCCAGATTGACTTGGTCCTGCTTTTAGCAATTAATGTTTATCTTATCGCTATTGCTAAGAAAAGCTGAAACCACTGCAGTATGGATGGAGTTGGAACACTATATTAGTAAACTCCTCATGGGTCATCCAAATGCCAGGGTCTTACTAGGGGGAGATTTAATGCTAGATTGGGACCAGATGATTACACATTATATATGAAATATCAATGGCAAATAACCTTAAATTTTGTATATCCAACTGCTCTTGGGCTGGCGACTATTCTGGTGAGATTGCATTTATGGCAGGATCCAAAACCAGCACCATTTATTATATCCTAACCTCTATGGATTTACTTCATTACTAGAAAGTTTTAAAAGTCCTACCTTATCTAGAAAGCAATCATCTACCTTTCCATGAAGCCTTTCATCTGGCAAATGCCCTTTGGGACCAATTTATTCCTGCAATTTCTCCAGCAGGCCTTATAAGATGTTGGGTCAAATGGTCCCAACAACTTGACTAAAAGGTGAGGAGAGCCCTATTAAAGGGCAAGTTTTTTTTAAAAAAAACCATTCAGCCCTTATAACAGCCAACCCTTCCCAAGCTCTACTAGAACTATATAAAAACATAGTTCATAAGCTACAACCACAACTAGCACATGACTGGAATTTCTCAGCTGAGGCCCTGCATCGCCTCCAAACCATGATTTGACAAGGCTTGTGTTTTGAAGCCAAGAAACCTCTCACATATATATACACAGATATACAAAAGCGAGACTGGGGATAGCAATAAAACAACTCTTAGACATCTCCTTACACTCAAAAAACAATTTAAGCATTTGATTGCTCTTAAGAAGAGACACGACACAAGTCCCTCCTGGGAACAGCTTATTGAGGCAGCAAAGCAAAAGAACTCTTCTCTATTCTGGCATCTAATAGCTAGTCATTCTGACATAATTCATACCCTACTAGAAACACATATACCTCCTACAACTTGGGAATTTCATTTTTGGAGCAAAAGTATAAGGTATACAATGAAGGATTTACCTGAAGCCCCCCCCCCCCAAATTCAATATCTCATTGGCCAACTCAGGACTAGGAGCTGACTTCATTTCTGCTGAATTATTAAAGAACAATTTGGAGTGGTGGATACCAGTTCTGGTGACACTATTCACTTACATCGACTCCACTGGCCATGTCCCAGAAGACTGAGGCTTGGCAATTGTTGTCCCAATTTTTAAAAAGGGAAAGAGAGATGACCCTCTCTTTACCAATTAAGACCAGTAAGTCTGCTAAATATAATCAGCAAACTCTATGCCAAACACTTCCAAGGTAAATTAAAGGAGTGGCTGGATCTTGAATACTTGATCACTGAAGAGTAAGACGGGCTTAGAGAGAGGAGAAGAATCATAGACCAATATATTTGCAGTTACAGCAAGAAAACAAGTAGTGAAAGTGAGCTGGTAAACGTATACTGTTTAACTTCTTTGAATGGAGAAACAGCACTTCTGGAAATCCCTGTAAAACAGGGGTTCCCCAAACCTTTGGACCTCAGGGACCACTAAATTCATAATTTTAAATCCTGTGGACCACTAATAAGATCTGCCAAATGGCTGGCTGGCTGGCTGGGTGTGGCTAGGTGGACATGTTACTGGGTCGGCATGGGCAATGATGTCACTCACGTCAAGGGGCACCTTGCCGGCCTTTACTTGTCCCTCACCTCCCAGCCAGTCCTCACCCACCCAGGCTCCTTTGGGCCCCAATAGGAAGCAGTTGTTGGAGCTAAGCAGCCACAAGAAAGAGTTGGCAAAATAGCTGGCTCAGTTCAAATTGAATCCAACCAAGAAGGAGGCTCAGCAGAAGCACCTCACTGAGGACTACGAGCATAGGCTTTCCAAGCAGAGGGAAGACCTGCAGGAATGCAAGTCCATGTACCAGTGCCTGGAAGCTCAGCAGGCTGAGATGGTCAGCTAGTTTCAGGCCATGATACAGTCCCATTGGAACAAGGCCTTCCGGCTCTTTGCTACAAGCGGCACTTCCCTCCAGCCTTCGCCCAGAGCCCCGCACCAAGAGGCTGAAGCAGACCCCACGTCGGAATTTCTTCCCCCCTTCAACCAGCACAAAAAGACCCCGAAGGGGGAGACTCTCTGGCACAATAAGTTCATTGCACATATCTGGCCCAAGAACCATAGTGGCAGCCTCTGCTTTGCTGCTGCTTCGGCTGCCATTGAAATGGGGAGGGGGGGCATGGTATTTGGGAGGGGTTTACTAATTGTGCTGGAGGAAGATTCTGGAGTTCTGCTGCCTGTCGGANAGATAGATAGATAGATAGATAGATAGATAGATAGATAGATAGATAGATGATGTTTTTAATGTGATTTATGGTGACATTTTCAAGCAACAGGATTATAATAAATCTCAAAAATCAGTTCCTTATCCACAAGTAAGCAAGCTTCATATAGCTAAAATAAATTAAAAAATAAAAGCAAATACCTAGTATACAGTACAGTTGAAAAATAGATAACCTCACAATTGCTTGAAGGAAACTGTTAAATAATATTATGATGAATCTGACTAACTATTTATAAGGACTGATTCTCCAGAAATGGAAGCAAGAGTTTAAATTTTTTAAAAACATGTGACATATTTTAAATTCTAGGGGGATTTATGTACTTTAAGATATCTTCAATGTCTATAGAAATTCTCAGTCACCTAGATAATGGTTGTCCCAAAGGTGCTTTTTCCTGAGGTAACTGGACTTTCTGGTTTTTCTTTAAATTCAGAAAGTCCAGTTGCCTCTTGAAAAAGCACATTTGAGACTTAAGACAACTTCTATATGTATAGAAATACTAGGTATGCATCAGTGGTGGGTTCCAGATCCCATTTCAACCATACTGGTTGGAACAGGCCCGGTGGCGTCCACATGGACGCGTGCAGCATGTGCATGCATCTTACCACCTCCGCGAGCCTCCGTGATGCTCCAGCTCTCAGCGGAGCATCACACAGGGGCTGTACAAGCCGTGCAGGTGCACAGAAGCACCGAAGACTTAAAAGACCAGTAAGGAGCTTGGGCACTGTACCAGAACGGTATCTGGTGCTCCTGGCAGGCTCCGGTATGCCCATACTGGGGCGTACACCTGCAACCCACCACTGGTATGCACTGAACAACACATATGTATTTGCAATTAAGAGGTTTAAAAAAAATGGATTGCTGGTTTTATAAATGTAGAACCCAAAATTTGGCTTCTTATATAGAATCAAAAGTTAATAATTATGTTTGGCACATCGCCTACTTGAATTCTCTCTTGTATTGGGATCTGTGGTTCAGAACTCTTTTCAAATGTTTTTTTCTCAGATGGCGTTAGATTTCAAATTTCATAATTTACTTTTCATCATCGTCAAATATTACAAGAATTGAATTCTAGCGCAACTAGAAATCACTATATTTACAAGTGATTTGAAACCCTATTCATTAAAAGTAAGATTCCAGGCAAAACATTTCATGTATTCATAGTTCAAATAACACAGTCTTCACACTGTATTTTGAATATATTGAACTTTCTTTCTGGCACTAATTATAATTATGTACATACTGTATTTCTTTGTTTATGACATATTTTCCCAGTATTACCCATGTTTTCCCCAAAATAAGAAGAGTTTTATATTTGGGAGCTTCAAAATAAGCACTAGGGCTTATTTTGGGGGGTTACTTTTCCCCTTTACTGGAGGCCCACAGCTTCACTGCGAGGCAAGGGAGGGTGGAGCTGTCCCACACACCCCACACCAGCTTACCTCAGGGCCCCACAGCCAGGCCATCCATACACTGATGCCTGCTTTAGCTCATGGCAGCAGCTCTAGCATCCCCATCCAGCAAGACCCCATGTGGCTGCCAGCCAACTTCTTCTGTTTGTTTGTGGCCACAATGGAGCAGGCAAGCCGAAACACGGTGGCATGGAGTGGGCAGGAGGTGAATGAGGGAGGCTTGTCTTCATGTCTTCCAGCTTCCCAGTAGGTCATGCAGTGCATTGGGATCATCTGTCATCGCCCCTGTTCCTTTGCCTCCATCTGCTGCTGAGACCGCTGCACAAAGGCGAACCTTCCAAAGTTGCCTGCCTGCTCTGGCCCATTGACTCTCAGTTTTCTGTGTTCTATGCAATGCATCCAGATCAGGTGCCTCCCCCCACCTCTGCCTCCACCTGGTGCTTGGATAGGTAATAACTCACCTGCACACACAGGCTGCAGCTGCTGTCAGACATTGTTCCTTGCTTCCTCCAGTGCTGGCCATGCCCCCACCATTGATGATGACCCTAACTAGGGCTTATTTTTGAGTAAGGCTTATACTAGGATCATGCTAAAAATCAGGCTAGAGCTTATTTTCAGAATAGGTCTTATTTTTGGTAAAACTGTGTGCATATTTAATATAACTTCCCATCTCTCCAGAATTTAATCACAGATGAAAATAGTGATGGGAAATTTGCTGTATGAGTATATGATCGACAGATGTTTAAAAAACATAGTATTACTTCAGTAGTTTCTGCTTCTAATGCAGACACACATCTACCAGCATCTATATTAACCCAATGAGCTTTAATATAAATCCACAGGGTTTTCAAACCTCATAGGTAACCTTTGTTAGCCTGGGCTTAGGCTATGCATCCAGGTCATACTTAATTCTAATGCAGCCTATTCAGTCTACATATGGTTGATCTTGAATAATTTGTTTAAACATTAATTTATTTAAAAATTAATGCTATAATATAATATAGTTACCTTGACCATGACCAGTTTGAACTAATTTATTCCTAACATATATTATATTGTCATTTTTTGATTTGCAATATTTATTTAGCATTTGGTTCAGTTGAGAATTTTTTTCTTGTTGCATCAAGTTTTACTTATAAAGGAACTAAACTTTTTAAAGGCTGTAAGATCAGAAAAGATAAGATCACATAATTCTGTTCCAGAAGGGACCTATTTTTTTAAAAAATTAGGCAGTGACATGCAAGTTGTAATAACTAGGCTGTTATTATTTTTTTAAAAAACTATTTTATTAATTTGTTATACATTGTTGTTGCATTTTCATGCTTTTTCATCCATGGTTTATTTTGCTTACTTATTAAAAGATAATGTTTTCATAAATAAGGCTGAAAAGATGATCCATTTATCAATGTGCTAGACCATTTTCAAATAAATAAACTGCTTTGATGTTTAAAGTTATTCACATAAATAAGATAAGAGAAAATACTCTATTAAGCTCTCTGTATATACGTTTTTTTCTTCTGTTTGTATTTGATAGGGTAGTAGCAGAGATGGAAGAATGTTTTTTAAGTAGCCTGAATTTAAACTTTATGTACTGTCAATGCACATGTTTTTCTTCCAGAACTCCCAATATTGATAATTTAGCTAAAGGAGGCATAAAACTAACTCATCATGTAGCAGCTTCCCCTTTATGTACTCCAAGTAGAGCAGCTTTCTTGACAGGACGATATCCTATCAGATCAGGTAACTAAAGTGTTTAGATGTTTACTTTTAAATATGAAAAAATATTGTATTTTTTAATTTACAATTACTATGTGAGTGTGGACTTTTCAAAGAAAACACACTGTATGTTATATTTATCACTTATTTAGTGAGATTGCTGACTCTAGTAATTATTACATGAGACAGGTGTTCTATTCTGTGTCTGAAAGTTTTGGAGCCAAAGGAGTGTTAAGGTGAAGCAAACACTTCCTTTAATGTGTTGATATTATAAGACTGAATATTTCTCTTTGTGGGAATATACATATACAGTACATGCACCACTTCCACTAGAAAGTACAACACTTTTGTAGCATTTCATTCAGAAAAATCTGGGCAACAGAGTTGGAAGGGACCTTGGAGGTCTTCTAGTTCAACCCTCTGTTCAAGCAGGAGACCCTATACCATTTCAGACACATGGCTCTCCAATAGAGCTCCCCCAAGACATTCCACTTAATTGTTCTTTCAGAAAATGTAGTTCTATTGAGGACTAAATGTTGAGTACAGGCACTTACGAACCCATCTGCTGGTGATGCAGTATATCCCATATCTTACCAAGGAATAGTTTTTAGGCCTGCAAACTGACAAAGAGAAAGCCTACATTAATGCAACAGGGATTGGTTGATTATGTGCCATCAGGTTATTTTTTATTCCTAACAACCACATAGATAGAATTTTCTCCAAGATAATCTATTCCTAATCTGTTATTTCAGTTTTTCCAACAGTGCACTTGTTGTCACTTTCACTGAGTTCATCCACCTTGCTGTTGGTTGTCCTCTTTTTTTCTTTCCTTACAAACTATTTGGAGAGGGGTACCTTATTTTCACTAATGCTCTTTACACCTCTTTTCACCACTTTTGAATGTTTTGCTGTTTTCTATGTGGTAGATGGGAAAAGAGAAATATGTGTTTAGGTAAAATCACATTTTTTTCACAGATAATGGTGATTTCATTTCAATTGCAGTTGCATGAAAAAGCTAACCCTACTCCCAAATAAATAGTATATTTTAGTGAATCCCTAGATGAACAAATTCACTACATGTAAAGCTTTAATTTAAATTAATCAGAAACAATTAATCAGAAAAAAATGATTTAATGCCAATAATAAAACAACAGATTTACAGATTTAGCAATCTTGACTAGTCACTTTGAGTAGGAAGGTAATGTATACATTGCATAACACAAGCAACCCACTTGCACAAAACAATTTTCACCAGAGTAGAAAAAACCTTAACAGAAAGATAATGGGAATAAATGCATTTGTAGGGCTTTTTTGAATGGATGGCATGACCAGCCTGTCATATCTCAGTGACAAAGAGTTCCCCAAATATGTTGCCACTGCTTATTGTCTTGGTCCACTAATCTGATGGATTTCGGAGACAGATCAGCAGGGCCAGGACTTAAAACTGATTCGTAACACAGCTGCTTCCATACAACATTCTCATTCATACAAGAGAAGGCAACTTTTCCTGTATGCTTTAATATAATGAGAAAAGTTGAGAAGTAGAATAAAAATTAAGTAGTTAAGGCATTCAGAATAGAATATTTTCAGGCTATACCAAGCATCAGGCCCCAAAAGCCAATCATAACTTTTTTCCCTCCAATGAAAATTTTACTGTTCTTGGGAATGTTCAGGATTGAAAATATTCTAAAATCCATCCTTTGCAGATTTTGCCATCTTGCTGAATATTTTTTTTCTTTTTAGATGTCCCACTGATTAGAAAATAAGAGCTACATTATTGCTTTTTTCAAAAGATTAACAACAATAGTAAACAACTGGAGCAACACTTGAATATCATTGGCATTGCCATAATCATGGTCAATTGCAAAAAGCAGCTTTATTTGGAACAGCTTAAATACTTTGACAATGCCTTTAATGAACAGAATAGAATATTCTTTATTGTCAAGTGTGATTGAACGCACAAGGAATTTATGAATAAACTCAGTGTACATAAAAACAACAAAGTAATATAATCATAAGATATTAATATTCTATTCTATTCTATTTAATAGATTTATAGGCCGCCCAATCCTGAAGGACTCCTAATAATAGAAGGTAATAGAAAAGATAACGTCCTTGTCATCTTTTCTATTACCTTCATTATTAAATAATAACATCTGCCTATCCCAGGTCTTTGGCAAGGACTCACTAAGTGGATGACAATGCCACCTACAGTTTAAACATCTGTCTGGTTTTGTGGCTAATAATAATAATAATGGAATGGTGGTAAAAGTATACATATTAGCATGTTGCCAACTCCTATCAGGCTTTAATAGAGCTCATAATGCTATGGGTTACAAAATCTGCTCCTCAATCATAAAAAAGATGCTTAATCATTCTTTACAACAATACCTGGATATGGGTGAACTTTTTTTTTGTTCTGATCCTAATAAAAACAACCAAGCTCTAGTATTATATCAATATGCCATCTATTTTTCATAGATAATCTATAACATGTTGTTCTACTGTTGCTTTATTTACATATATATAATTTAATAAACATGACTTATTTTATGTTCAAATGTTTAATTATGTTAGGAATGGCTAGTCTGAATCGGCTTGGAGTCTTCTTATTTTCAGCCTCTTCAGGGGGTCTGCCTACTGAGGAAATAACATTTGCAAAGCTTCTACAACAGGAAGGCTATTCTACAGGTCTTATAGGTAAGAGTGATCGATATAGATGCATATTTTTCATTGTGTTTCACTTTAAATATGTGTGCTTATCTTTAAATTGGTTTCAAAAAGATTTACAAGTTAACATTAGAATATTGGCAACATTCATACACACACATATAACAAAAAACCTCCAAATATAATATGTTCATGAAAACATAGATTCATGAAATAATGCAATGGTTTGATCTATTTTTTTTAATTCTTCACCTAATTTATGGATCACGATTTAAGTGACTATATGGTCCAATATCATATAAAAAAGGCAATCTGTTAAGTGTGTATAGGTGTATATAACCCAGTGACGTGCAGGCAGGGGAGGCAGGGCCTCACCACTGTCATCATGAAAAGAAAAAAAAATTAAAAGGAAAAAGGCTGA